ATATATATATATATATATATATATATATATATATATATATATATATATATATATATATATATATATATATATATATATATATATATATATATATATATATATATATATATATAGCCAAATAAGTATTACTTTTTGGTTAGTTCTTGGTTTATTATCGATTACAAAAGAGAAATAGATTAGATTCGTTTAAGAAAAGGGCCAGAAACAATTCTATTGGGTTGTTCGGAAAGTCATTTCGTTTTTTTGGGGAACATGAAAGACAGTTTTCGTATAATGAATAAATGTTTTAATTAATTATATATTGGCCATTCTGGTCCAACACCTTTTGCCATCTTTCTGGCAGTAACATAATTCCCCTCTCATAAAAGTTTTGGTCCTTGCTGGCAAAAAACTGGTTCAGGTGGTTTTTGACATCTTCATTTGAGGTAAAGGTTTTGCTATCCAAAAAATTTTGCAGGGACCGGAACAAATAGTAGTCGGAAGGCGCCAGATCTGGAGAATATGGTGGATGTTGCAGTACGTCCCATTCAAGCTGTAAAAGTTTTTGGCGAGTGACCAAACTTGTGTGAGGTCTCGCATTATCCTGGTGGAACACTACACCCTTCCTGTTGATTAATTCGGGCCTCTTCTCTTTAAGTGAATTATTCAATTTGTCCAGTTGATGACAATAGACTTCTGAATTAATCGTTGTATTGTCCGGCAAAAAATCAAAAAAACGATTCCTTTGACATCCCACCAAACGGAGAGCATCACCTTTTTTTGGTGAATGTTGGCTTTTGACACGCTTTGAGCCGGTTCATCTTTTCTGCTCCATGACCTCTTGCGTTTAACATTGTTGTATACAACCCATTTTTCGTCCCCAGTAATAATCCGCTTCAAAAATGGATCATTTTCTTGACGTTTGAGGAGCGAATCACACACGTCAACGCGACGACACAAATTTCGCTCCGTAAGGACATGGGGCACCCACACATCGAGCTTCGAGGTTAAGCCCATGCCTTTCAAATGGCCATAAACATTCGAATTCGACAAATTTAATCTCTCACCGATCTCTAGTTGTGGTTATTCGCCGATTTGCATCAACTAATGTTTTTAGCGCATCTTTGTCAGCTTCGATCGGCCTTCCAGACCGTGGTGCATCTTCGACATCAAAATTACCGGATCGAAATTTTGCAAACCAGTTCTGGCACTGGCGTACTGTTAACACGCCTTCTCCATACACATCCGTCAATTTTTTTCTCGCTTGGACAGCATTTTTACCTTTTCTGAAGTAAAAAAGTAAAATATGACGAAAATGCTGCTTATTGCTCTCCATATTTAAAAGGACACCAACCAAAAACTACTGCGTAGTATTAATAGAACTTTTTCACACACAAGCCTTGCAATATCAGCTGTCAAGAAATATAATGGTTCTGCGGCTTAAGTGTGAAGTTGGTTTCGAAAAAACGTAATTAAGTCCTCTGACGGGAAAAAACGAAATGACTTTCCGAACAACCTTATAGTAATGTCACGTACGCCAGTTAGTTTATTAGTTTTTTTTTTGGTTATGAATAGTTTCAATTAAGCTCTGAAGCTCTGAAGAAGTGAATAGGATTATTGACGAAACGTCAGTTTCAGTTAAACATTAAAGCTTTGAAGAAGCCAATAGGATGACTGGCAAAATGTCAGCAAGATATTCAAAAACTTGAAAAAAAATCTAAAAAATTCAAGTTTTCAAATTAACAAGTGTCAAAATGTATTAATCGTAGTACCAGATATAATTACAATTTCATAAAGTTTGAGAGAATGTTCAAAAGCAATCGACTTTATCGTCTCAAATGCTTAGCGATTAAAGAGGCAATTTTCGTTTCAAAGGGAATTAGCTGTTAGAGGTAAAATCCTTTTTGATGCTACTAAAAATAGCAGCAAATCTGTTGCGAGCACATTCACAGCTGCAACATATGAGGCTCAAAAACGGATTTTAATTCCAAAGACCTTATTTGAGTGCGTATTAATAATTTACTAAGACAGTTTATGTTATTTCCTGTATCGCTAGGCATTGTAGTTATAATGCAACTACGGTCAATATGTGCAGATTCCCATTTCTAATCCCCAAAAGGTTGTAAAATAAAAGAGACGCGCGATATGCATTTTAAATGAGAATCTTCCCGTTAATACTAGATTTCTGAGGTGGTGCCTTGCGAATTTAAACCCGGATTAATTTAAATATTAAAGTTAAAGACAAAGTTCTGGTTATTCCGGAGTAAATTTCACAATTAATTGATTATAATATTTTGGAACAAAATTTGGATCATATTTGTGTATACGGGTATACCTTTTATCGCACTAAGTGAAATTAAACTACTTCTATCGTCTATTCAGCAGTGCGTTTTATATAAACTGACAGACGCCTCCCTAAATTGACTATACATTTATTGAAGGGTAATATGAAATTCTGCAGAATACACAACATATATTGTTTATCCGTTTATCCCATATTTTATTTTATAAAGGGTGGCATGTCAGGGTTTTTATCTTCTCCTTACATTTTTCTTTCATGCAGAATTCTCTCTGAAGAATGGGATCGGCGTAAAAGTCGACGAACGCCGCTTTAAAAACTTTCAAATGTTCATTATATTTTATATAAATATTTTCGTAAAGTCTCTATCGTCTGTTTCTTTATGAGTTATAGTTACTTTCAAGCAGTTCGCAAAATTCTTCTTGAAAACAGTGTTTCTGAAAAACGGATTAGGATAACCGCGAGTTCTAACCAAAACTCAACATTCGCAGTCGGAAAAATGTCTTCGAATATGAAGTTGAACAGTCAACAATATATCGAGGATAAGCGTGGCCCCATCGGAAAGAACAGCAACAGCAAGTAATATATACTAATAATATAGAGGGATAATTTTATTATATTATGGTTAAGAAGAAATTGGTGAAAACTTTAAAGGAAACCAAAGAATTTTGCAATCATCTTCTCTCGAAGTATAAGCTGGAAATATAACTGGGAGGCTTATAAGAAAACTAAAAATTGAAATTAGAATACTATGTAAGTAGTACAAAAAAAATCAAAACAACAGACCAAACAAGAACGCGGATATTCCTGAACACATGAATAATCCAGAGCTTTGTTGATTCAGTAGCTCCACTAAATCAGCAGAATTTGACCTCCAGCAAGGAGGTTGTCTGGGCTATAATGGTATTGAAGTTCAATACATATGCTGCGGATGGAATTACGCTAGAAATGATAAACCTTTACTGTCCAACAATATTGCCTATTCTGACTCAATTTTTGAATCTACGGAAATAAAACTGTATATTTCCTGCGATGTCGAATATGGTACCTATCAGCCTGTCGTCAGTGCTTTCTAAAGTATTTGAGAAACCGATTTATAGCAAATCCGTGGCTATGGATTTTGCAAAGGATACATGGGCTTTGACTTTACTCCAACTTCTGGATGACATTCTTTCAGCCGCAGCCAAGGGGGAAACATCAGCTTTGGTCGTACTGGTAAAACTTTAGATACCCTCATCATACTATGCTCTCTGCCAAGTTAAATTAGTATGGATTTTAAATTTACGACGATTCAATTGATTCATGATTGATCAGAAGATGACAGAACTGATCATTAGGACTGTTTCGGTCAAGCTCTGAAGAAGCCAAAAGAATGATTTTCGAAACGTCAGTAATTTCGACTCAGGAGGAATCCAGAAGTTTTGTAAAAAATAATAAATTGCTTTTAAACCCTCCACAGTTCGTGAACAAACAAGAATCGAGAATAAAACCGGAATTTTTAAACAAAGCGGCCTTCATATCATAAATATCATTATTGAAGGATAATTTCGGAAACAATACCCCTAAGTTGTCAAAGGAATTGACTCGCTAGGGAGGTTTGACATTAATATATTATTCATTCGGATATTTGAGCGTTCTTATTCAGAGTTTTCCTGTTTTAAGGATTAACTTGATTCTCGCGTTTAACAACACTCACAATTATATTTTTACAATACGATTAAAATAATAACTAAAATTGAGGATATACTATAAATCATGAGCTTTTGAATGCCAAGCTTCCACACCAGCAGATCCATGTATCATTTTATATATCCGACTTTAATTTATCATAATAATATTACTAAGAATCTCGAAATTATATCCAAATAAGCAAACAAATGTTTTTTTTTTAATAGAAAAAATAAAACTTTATTCCACGTTCTAAAGGACCAAAAGCTAAAATTATGTGAATCTTTTAGTAGGATGCGTATTAGCTTTAATATTATTTACGGATATTTCTATGGCTTCTGTTATCAAAAAACCAAAATATCTTCCTTTTAATCTATGGCTTAAGAAAAATTTACAGAATATCCTACACAATATGTTATATAGTTCGGGTACTTTTTTACGAAATCATTAGAAGTGAAATATGCTTGAGGAAAATTAAAATCAATTCTAGCATACGCTTTCAAATACTAGATACACGGAAAAACTTATAATTCCTGGTCATAAGAAAATATCTTTAAGAAAAGTCTTTGTAGAAAACAAAAAGTTATCCAACTTTTTAGCAAAGATATAAAAGAGTACAACATGAATTTAAAGAAAAAAAATGAATGTAAGAATTTTTTTCACTTCACATTTGAGGAGCGTTCATACAAAACCAGATTTGTCCGTATAAATTAATTGCAAGAAACACGTCAAAAACTTTTGGGTATTTCAGACTGAAATGAAGATGTTTACATATTAATGAATAAATGAATTTTGCAAATTTTGTTGGATTTTTATATAATATGAGTGAAACGTAAAAAAATCGCTCTATATATAAATCAAATTTAAGAGAGTCCTTTTGCCCTGGAAATTGAAGGAACAATGGAAATATTTATTATAATTATTTATATTTTAATTAAAGCGTTTGTTGTTCGGTTCTGTACAAAAATGTCATTACGAAGTTTATTTTAGCGAAAGCATATGTTGTTTTTGCTAAAAAAAAGTTTTCAGTGCCTGAAGTAAATAACTTTTTCAGGTTTCCTGGATTCGGAAAAGGGACCTTCACATACTAACCGTTGGGATACTGACATACACCAACGATCAACGTTTCCAATCGTTACACACTGACGGTTCGGACGAATGGACTTTGAAAGTGACGTCACCCCAGACTAGAGATTCCGGAATCTACGAGTGTCAAGTTAGCACGGAGCCCAAAATTAGTCAAGCGTTTAAACTCAACGTAGTGGGTGAGTTGAAAACTTTTAACATTAGCTCATATTTATAGGCATTCGGAGTATTCAATTTTAATGCCTATTTAGAACTATATGACTTTCTCCCTGCTTATTTTATAGCCTTCTGTAATAGAAATTGCTTTTTTGAAGTATTTTCTGTTCATTGCTGTTATTAATATTATTATTTAGATGACAAACTCTACTCGATTTTTCTAGAGCTTTTGATTGTCAGGATCATTCACTTTTATGCGCTAAATTGCAATACTTTGGACTATCTGACAGTCCACTGGTCTTCTTTTGCAACCACTTGCAAAATAGAAAACAAGTTGGTTTTCTATCGGCAGCAGGTTTTTACTTATAGTGGGAGACATAGTTTAAGGAGTAGTTTAGGAGTAACGGTGGACGTATTATTAAGATTTAGTGAGCACATTTCAAATTTAAGTAAAATAACTTACCTTTTACTTAAGACTTTATATGCCAATGTCTGCATTCTCATATTGCCTCGTATTGTTTTACTCATGTTTAACACTCCATTATCGTCAACGCCTCAAAAAAATACAAAACAACTGTTGTAGGTTTGTGTATGGCTTAAGGAAGTTTCACCACGTGTCCCCAAAAATTAAATTGTTGAAATGGTTGAAAATAGACAATTCATTTAAATACTTATTCGCTGCGTTAATATACAAGATCTTAAAGCCTTCTAGCCCTCCCTATTCAAAAGTTAGGCTAGTTTTTCGCTGCGAATCCCCCAATGTATATTAGGAAGAATACACTAACAGTGCCTCTACACACATCTGCTCTTCACGAGCGAGGGGTTTACCTATATGCGGCAAAAACTTTTAATCCGCGTAGACACTTCTTTGACTTATCATCTTTTAAACTATTTAGAAATAAGATTAAAGACGTGTTATTAGATAAATAAAGTGCTGATTGGGTTTTTGGTCTTTTAATCACAGAATAATTTGTATAATTACTTACTTTCTTTTTCTTTTGTTTATATTTTATTTATCTTTGCTATGGGTTCTCTTGTTACAAATTGCATTTTTATTGTTGAGTAGCTGACTTAGTCAGCTAGACGTCGCCCTTTGAAATTTTATTAGTGTATACTGTGCATTATGTATATTATGTATCGCAATTCTCAATAAAGACTATTTTTATTATTATTATTATTATTATTATTATTATTAATATTATGATTATTATTATTATTATTATTATTAAACTATAGCAGAGATATGCCTTTAATAACATTTTTAGCAGAGAAGTATAAAACTATTTTAAAGTATTTTTTGTTCATTCTGTTATTATTATTATTAAATTATAGCAGGGATGTGCATTTAATAATATTTTTCGGCCCTGTAGAATAGTACGACTTTCTTCCTGCTTCCTTTATAGCCGTGAGTAATAGCACATTTTTAGCTAAGAGTTCTCAAACTATTTTAAGGTATGTTTTGTTCATTCTGTTCTTATTATTATTAAATCATAACAGAGATATGCCTTTAATAACATTATTAGGCTCGATTTTCTTCATGCTTGCTTCATAGTCTTCAATAATAGAACATTTTAGCTGAGAGTATCAAACTGTTTTGAAAAAACAGTACGACTGTTTTCTTACTTCATTTTGAGCTTTCAGTAATAGAAAATTCTATCTAAGAGTTATCAAACTATTTTGTATTTTCTGTTTATTCCTGTTATTAATATCATTATTATTATTAAATTATAGCAGGGATATGCCTTTAATAATATTTTTAGAGTCAGTGAGAACTATTTGACTATCCTCCTGCTTAAATTTTAGTCTTCAATAATAGAAAATTTTTAGGTGGGAGTTATCAAACTATTTTAAGGTATTTTCTGTTCATTGCTGTTAATTACTTCTATTAACTTATTACTGTTGAAGCTAAAGGAGCTTGAAAAGGCAGAATAAATATTCTTATTAATAACTATTAATTGGTATAATAATTTTGTAAAAGTCTTTTTAGAAAAATCGCAATTCCGGTTCCTTATTTTATTTATCATTTTCGATACCTACTGAAGGGAGAACATTTTTAAAAGCTCAATGGACACAGTCAATTTTATTTTCAACGGGAAGAGATAAATTCTCCGAAAACTTACCAACAGGCCATTAATTATCTTTTTTTTTGGATTATTTTAACTTACGAAAACTCACGTCAGCTCCGTAGTCCGATCCTGTGCGCAGTGGAAATTTTCGCAAACGTTCACGAGAAAATACCTGTATAAAATTTGTCACTGTTTACCGCCAACCCCTTTAATTTGTTTTAACTGTTCTGGCGTTCTCTCTATATATTCCGGCTTCCCCGTTTCGCTAACGTAAAAGCGACAATTTCGGCGAGGTTTTAAATTTTAATGCCAAAATCTTTTACAAAATTGATGCGCCGTCTGTACAAAAATACTCCATTTGTGGACGCGCCAAAACGTTCAAGTGGTAACTTCGCCTCCTGTTTTTGTATTCGCTGCCAATTGATCTATACTGACACCAAATGGCGTATACAGTCCTAAAGATGTCATTTCTAATGCCTATATTAGGTTGAAGATTTTATTTATAGCAGGTTATCACCAGTTAAGATCAATAATAAGCGTATGTCAGATTATCAACAGTCTACATTAACCGAACCTTGGATCCTTCAATTTACAGAACAGAATTAAAACACCTAACATCTGCTCTTCTGGAAATCGGGTGGGGTTGACAATGTGTGACCTTAGCAAGGCCTTCGACTGTATATCGCATGATCTTCTTAAGCAGAAGCTGTTTAGGTATGGATTTCGCGGATTAATCCTTAAGCCTACAGAATCTTATTTATTAGATCCTCTTTGGTGAAGGGGGGTTCCCCAAGGGTCCGAACTCGACCCTATATTTATTATAATGTATGTTGCTTATCTATGCCGTTTTTTGGGGTCTGTCAAATGTGCTTTATTTGCGGACGATACCAATTTTACCTTATATGGTCCGAATTGGAATGACCTGCACAATATTATTGGGGAACTGGAGAGCAATGCGAACAATTGGTTTAAAAATAATTATTTGAAATTGAATAAGGACAAAACTCAAAAAATATTCTTTTCGCTAGATAAATACAATAACGGCGAACGGCAGTCAACTAAATTACTTGGCATTACACACAACATTGTATTTTATCTCTTAAGCGAAAACTATTTTCCAGCTTATTCGTCTTTAGAAAAATTAGGGAGAGCCTAGACCAAAACGACCTAATGACAGTGTATTATGCTTTATTTCCTTCCCACATATCATATGGCACAATATTATGGGGAAACTCTGTCAATGCTGTTCAAATATTCAGGATACAGAAAAGGGCTATAAGAATTCTTGATGGGGCTAAGCACAATGAACACTGTACTCCATATTTTAAAAAATATAAGATAATGACACTGCTCTGTATCTATATTCTCCAAAATCTTTTAGAAATTCACAAACATATTAATATATTTGAAGGTGTGTCTCATAGTTATCCAACAAGTGCAAAAAATCTTATAAGAGTTTCAAAGCACAGACAAAAATTCTTTAAACATTAACTTATACAATATGCTACCAGATAGGTACAGACATATAGCTTTTGAGGTGTTCAAAATAAATATTACAGTGTTGCTTATTGAAAATTGTTTCTATAGTGTGGACGAGAATTCCATCAAAATAAAAAAAAACTAAATTAAATTCCTTGGCTTACTGAAATGTGTGAAATGTGTGCACTTTCTGTACGATTTTTATACTTCGTATTAGTGTTGTTGACCTTTACATTTGCTATTGTTCACTACTGTGTTATTTACAAAATCCATTTTTTTTACATCTTTATACTTTTTACATTTTGTTTTTGAATTTTACCTTATATTGACAGGCTACAAGTTTATTATTATTGCACAATATTTGGTTAATAAAAATTCTTCTTCTTCTTCTTCTTCCAATTCTTCTTCTTCTTCTTCTTCGCTCTGTTAATTTCCACAAATATATTGAGCTTTCCATCACAAAATACATTTCACCACAACCTCCCAAACTCGGAATAGCATTAGCAAATACTACCCTTATTTGGATTCCTCAAGGATTAGAAATCGTTCCCCTCTCATTTATATTCGACCTTACAACAAACTGCTACAACAAAAAATTGGCTAATTCCAAATGCCCAATCTAGGAAGAACAAACAAAAAGATCTACGAACAATCATTCCCTTATATCTAAAACAAGAAAAGGCTAAATCAGCTTGGAAACTATAATAAATTGGATTGTAAAAAAAAGCGGTAACAAAAGAAGAAATTCCGCTCAAGATGCCAAAAGTTTAAGTTTATTCTCATTACCTGTGCGTGGTCAGCAGTTTCATTTACCCACATCCTCAAGTACTTGTAGTCTTAAAATCTCTTTAGTGCTGTGTTATAGCAAGTAAGATTTGCATTCATATTATAATTCTTGTAATAATCACATATTTGGTCTCCCTTTTCATACTCCCCTTCAGATCCTCTTGAAAAGTAGTAGAGATATTTCTAGAGCTATTGTACAGTAGTGTTACAAAAGTGGACTATACCCACTATTTAGGTCATGTCTTGTAGATGTTGTACGATGTACTTCATTTTTTCTATGAGTATTTCTGGGCCGCTATTACCTGCTAAATTTAGTACCAATTCTGGTCAGCTATCTTTAAATAGGCGCTAATGGACTTGGCCCTCTTCTCCAGTTGTTGGGATCCTCTTATTACGAAAGGTCGTTTATACTTTTTCATTTCCGACATCTTCTTGATCTTCTTATGCATATTAAAGCTTCATATTTACTTTCATTCCTATGCCATTTTTATTTTTGCTTTTACGATGTGATTTAGATCCTTGTATTTTTCGTTATTATTATTATTATTAATATTGTTATTATTCTCCAACACAGTATTTCCTCAGTCATCCATACTTGTTTGGCTTGGCTTCACTTGTAAAGTCTCCCCATTTATTGTTTACGTCTGTGGTTTATGCCTTACGTTCTTAAGAGTCTCACGAGCAAAATAACT